TGTCCTTGTGCACTTCAGTTTGACAGAGCCAACATGAACCTGGTGGGCCCACTGTATTTACTTCACGTCCCTGGAACACAGTGTCCAGGAAGCATCGTTCAACCGAAGAAAGTATCGATAAAGCTCCACCCCGTCGCTGAAGGAGCCTCAGTTATCGGTGGCACCACGACGGGATTATCGAGTCCTCCATTCGAATTCCGCGCGCGTTCGCGGGTAACGAACTTGCGGCCAGCTTAAGATCGTAAACGGGAAGCCGGGGTGTACAGATTATTCGACGACGACCGCGCCGTGGACGTATACAACCGGCGCGCGGTTTAATCGCGGGAGGCTTTCGACTCGGAAGCTCGTTAGCCGGCCTAGCAGGCTCGATATGCGGGTACAAGCTATTTCGAGTGGCCGCGTGCCTTTATTCGGCGCGATCGTTCGGGCATTACGCTGTTTTTCTTGACCTGCCGGCTGGCCTTTAAAAAGCCCGCGCCCGCGATACGGCCGAGCAATTAAAATACTAGTGGGCCGCGCGCGCTCTCCGTGCGTCAGAATCACGCCACGCAAAAAAGCTAATTCTTCCCCTTTGTCCACTTTCTTCCGGCGCGCGCGCCGGTCGACGGTGCTTTCATGGATCCTGATGGATTAAGTGTCATTTGTATACAGTAGAACCTCGATTAGCCGAGTCACTGTCCTCTGCGATGTGGATCGTTTCAGGCTTGGTTGCCTACTGCCTCGATGATTTCACAAATCGATCAAGTTTTAGAAATGTATTATAGTAGGCTGTGAATTAATATATTGTGTACCATTATGTATAAAATATTAACTTCGGAGGTCAACTCACTGTTTTTCATTGGAGCGTGGTTGTTTGAGTATAGGAATACATGTTTGATCGTGTTTCCTATGTGTTTTGAGTATTCTTTTGCGAATCTTTTGTGAATCGAAAATATGGGTAGTTTACGTTTCAATGATCTATAATTCGGTGAACTGAAAAACTCACTGTAACAAAACAGTTGAATTACACTAACGGTATTCGCGCAATTTAATAAAAAGCCGTGGACATCTGTAAAATTTAGGTGTTAACGAGTTTTTATTAAATCGCATGAATACTGTTAGCAGAATTCAACAGTCTTACTATTCAACTATTCTAAGAAAACATCACAAACAATGTTTGATGCTTACAACATTCGTTAAAACGTTTCGAATAGAATTTAACGAAAATGAATGAAACAACCAACGAATGAACATCCAACAAAACCGACGGATTCTTACAAATCCTGAACCGTTAAATTTTACAGATATTCGCCAGAAGCCTCGGTACGCTGTCCATCAGCCTATTATCATTCGTCGAACTTAACCTAAAACCGAACTAACCATAAACACCGGACAACTGTGTTCCCTGTGTTCCGGCAATACATATTTCGACGCAAAACCGTTCGCCAGGGCAGCCATCTCCGCGCTCATAGGCATGCAGCGGCCGAACGCTGTGCGACCACTCTGTATACCGAATTCGAATCAATTGATTGGCTGTTGATTGGAAATTGAATTAGATCGGAATGTGCGTGTCTGCGGGACTCACGTCGAGGGGTTGCGCGACGGAGAGGCAGAGCCTGGTTCCAGCGGGCTGGGAGAGAGATAGGGTTGCTCTGGAACGACGGAGTCCCCAAAGGGAAGGAGGGGCGGTGTGCTGGGCGGTTGCGCGGGGGAGGGGCGCGGACCGGCTGCTCCCGGCCTCGCAATGCGCCCGGAATATCAATGCCAACCACTTTTCGTTGCGACCGCTGTCGGACAGTGGCGCGAACCGGCGTCGTTCTTTCTCCGGTGTTTCCTAGTCGCCTCTGTCTCTTTCTATTTTTCTGCGCGCGCGCGCGCGCACATACACACGCCATGACTGTATACCGGTCGGCGCGACGCTTTTCACGCGTCTGACCTCTTTGATACCGTGCCCGGAATCACGCCTGTATCCGTCGTTTACTCGTGCTCGAATTTGCATGAATTATCGACGTCCGTGAAGAATATCGATTGGGGATTGACTGGCTGTCCGGTGCCTCGAGTATGGCCGTTTTGGGCAGCGAGAGTGTTTTCGACGGTAGAACTTGCCGAGTTTTATGAAGCGAGGATTTTTAATCAACGCTAGGTTTACGAAACGCGGCAATTCGACGCATATGAGATTTGATAAATATTAGTTTGCAAATGTTTACTCCGATTTCGATCGATGCGACTGCACGAATGTGTGTCTTAATTATCTATTATCGTATCTCTAATGTTAAAAATCTAAATAAACGTGCATCAATTTTTCGGGACATTAGAATAAACTGTATAGTAAACGTCCGTGAATCTAGTGTTAATGTTAGTTTTATTGGGAAAATGGGATTATTGCGGTAATTTGTTTAATGATTGAAATATTATTTGTACGTTTGCAATGCTTGTAAAAGAGAAATCTGAAATGGGTAATTTTGATTGATTTGGTAGTGCTAGTGGTAATTTGGACGAGGATGTTGTAAGTAATTTTGGTTTACAACTTTCTCTATCTGTTTGACCTTGTGTTTATGATTTTGGAGAAGGTTGGGAGTGATGATGTGAATCCTTGTGTATTGTGAAAAGAACCCCTTAGGTCACGAAATATTGATCGGAATTGGTATCACGTAATATTTTCTGATAAAGCTTGTTTCAGCTGTCGGCACGTCTAAGTAGTACAGTACATAAGTGGTCAGCCGCGGTTAGATAGCAGTTGTATAATCTATGGTCTCTATGGTTATTCCGAGAACGAATCGTTTACACATTGAACACCAGTAAACAATAAAAACTGCATAAATTTATAGACTTCACTGTTCTAACCTTATATATTTTAACTGATCGTGTTGATGCAACGGGAAGGAATATATCATGTGTACCAAGATTCATTTTTACCATATATTCTTGCAAAATAATATTAATATGATAATAAAATACATCGTGTAACCAAAACTTCCCTCGAAATATTCAGTAATTGTTGAGAAACTAGAAAAATCTAGAGTATAATTGAAGCTCGGTCAACTAGTCGACAAATCTACACAAACTTTCACCGAACAACATTCATAAAATTCAATATCCATTAAATCGTCCGGTTCCATAAACCTTGGACACAAAATATCCAAAGTCCTTAATTTTACATTAATTCACATTAATTCTTCCAGAAGTCTGTCCCCGCCATAATTGTATCTTCCTAATTACGTTCTCAATCCAAATACCCATAGATCCAAGTCCCAGTTCAGTACATAGCAACCGAAGCATATCTCCCAATTCTCAAAACTCCCAATCCACACAAAAATCCGCAATCAATTGCAACGAGATCAATACCAAATCCAAATAATTCGAATCGCAAACGAAACAATAACTCGCAAACCGCCACCAACATTCCCGCCCGAGCTCCAATCCTTTTCCCAAGCGGAAGCTGGAAGCATTGAACCCACCCGGGAGATTAGAAAACGTCCTCGCCGATCGTCGCCAGAATGGAGATCGGTTGTACAATATAAATGCAGACGGGAGGAGCGGTAGTAAATTCCGTAGTAAATTTCGTTTCGCCGGGTGGAATTACTCAGCCAGCGGGGGCGGGGGGTTGCAAGGAAGAGTTTCGAGCGCAGCGGTACACAAGAAG